TTTATAGGTCTGTACAAGAAAATACTTTCACAGCTGGAAATTCCCCGTTGGAAACTAATCGTCTGAGAACCTGCACTCGTGCCAAAACAACACTCCTTCGACTTCAGCGCCGCGGATCAACTTTACTGGTGCGTCCTGACGGGCCTGCGACGTGCCATCACACCATTCCTGGAACTTCTACACAGCGAATCAAAGTGACTGTTGCGCACTGGCAATCCAATTCCGTGCCAGAACACAACTCCCCAAAAGTCAACTACAATCACCCGTTAAACTGTTGTAAACTTGTTAGACGTATGCGCGCGGCGCCCATGCAAGAGCCACATGTTGGTCAAGGGCCGCCCTCTATTTGTGAAGCTCCTGTAATGTGCTACAAAACATGTGCGCGGCGCTGCGGCAATAATGTCATGTTGAAAACCACCCGCCCTCGATCCTCCATCCGTGAAGCTGTTGCAAACTTTCACGACGTATGTGCGCGACAATCATGCGAGAACCCCATGTTGAAAGCCACCTGCCCTCCATCCGCGAAGCTCTTGCAAATTCGACAACGAACTTGCACAGCGCTACGGCGAGAACCTCATTTTGAATACCACCCGCCATCCAACCGTGAAGCCCTTGCCAGCGTTTCAAACGAACGTGCGAGGCGCTCAAGCGAGAACTTCACTTTGAAAACCACCCGCCCTCCATCCGTGAAGCTCTTGAACACATTTAAGACGAATGCGCGCGGCGCTCAATCGAGAACCACATGTTAAAGACCCGCCCTCCACCCGTGAAACTGTCTGTTGCGAACTTGTGGGGCGAATGTGCGCGGCGCTGAAGCCAAAATCGCATTATGAAAAAGAACAGCCCTGCATCCGCAAAGCCCCTGCTTGATTGTAACATGAATGCGGGCGGCGCTAAGGCGAGAAACACATGTTGAAAACAACCCGTCCTCAATCCGTGAAGCTCTTGCAAACTTCTAAAACTAATGTGCGCATCGCTGAGGCGAGAGCCACACATTGAAAACGCACCGCCCTGCATCCATAAAGCTCTTGCACAATTTTAAAAACGTATGTGCGCGGCGCTGGGGCGATAACCACATTTGGAAACGAGCCGTCCTCCATCCGTGAAACGGCTGCACACTTTCAAGACAGATGTGCGCGGCATCAAAGCGAGAACCACATGTTGAAAACCACCCGCCAACCATCCGTGAAACTCTTGCAGATCCTACGTGGAAGGATCACTCATGGTGTCTGCAACATACCAACACGTCTCGGGATGCGACCGGGAGGAGCTATCCATAAATAATGAGAATGCACGAGGAAGAGGAGGACGAGGAGAAGGAGGAGTGACGAGAGGAGGAAGGAAGAAAGGAGGAACAGGAGGAGGAGGAGCAGGAGGAGGAATAGGGGGAGGTGGAGGAGAAGGAGGACGAGACGGAGGAGAAGGAGAAGGAGGAGAAGGAGTGATGAGAAGAGGAGCATGGAGGATGAGGAGGAGGAGGAGGAGAAGGAGGAGGAGGAGGTGGAGGAGGACAAGGAGGAGGAGGAGGAGGAGGAGAAAGAGGAGGAGGAAGAGGAGGAGGAGGAGGAGGAGGAGGAGGAACAGGAGGAGGAGGAGGAGCAGGAGGAGGAGTGAAGAGAGGAGGAAGACGAGGAGGAGGAGGCGAAGGAGGAGGAAGACGAGGAGGAGGACGAGGATCAAATTAGCCAGGTCGAGCGACCCAGAAGGCTCCGCCTATTCCCACCCTCTTTCCCACGACATCAGAAGCAGATGTGGAACATCTTGATTTTGGGATTGGAGCGCGTTCCCGCCTCGCAAACGGAAGGCGCTCGCGCGCGCCCCGCTGCCAACGACTTGGCGAAGGGACAAGTACGCGGGTCGCGCGGGTGTGGCGAAGCACCGCGCTGACACAGCACGGCCACTGTCACTCACAAGCTGCGCGGCGCAGCGGCGAGACCGGCATTTCGCCCGCTCTCGCGCGGCCCCGCTGCCGCTGCCCGCTGTCACGCGATTCCGCGGACGAGCCGTGCGCAGCGCCCGCGCCAAAAACCCACGTCCGAGCGCAGGGGCGTACGGAGCGTCGGCGAGGGCGGCGAGCTGCCCCCTCGCGCAGAGCCCCAGACACACTGGCGAGCGAGAGGCAGGCGCCGCGGCGGGGCGGGAGCGCCACCTTCAGGGGAAGCCTGCGCGGCGCGGAGGCGAGAACGACATGCTCGTCCGCTCGCGCGTCGAGGACGCGGCGTGCGGAAGAGGCACGCAACGCGCCCGAGCGGGAGCCCCAAGTCGTCCGAGAGACGAGCGCGGCGCGGAGGCGAGTGCCGCATGCCGGCCTCTCACGCGGGCAGTGCGCCGCGCCCCGTTCCTGGGCCGCTCCTCTTGCACCGTCGACGACAGAGCGCCCATGCTTGAGACGACGAGCATGGATCTCGTGCTGCTGCTTCTGACGGGTGAGGATGCGGCCCCCCTGAAATGAGGCCCCTACCGGCCGGCTGCGCGGCAGAGTGGGAGCATGCCCCGATGAGGGATAAAAGTGGGCGCGAGGAGGAGAGGAAGGCGCTGAGCACAGTCACATCAAAGCAAAAGCGCCAGGAGGAGGAGGAGGAGGACGAGGAGGACGAGGAGGAGGAGGAGGACGAGGAGGAAGGACGACGAAGGAGGAGTGGGGAGGAGGAGGAGGAGGAGGAGGAGGAGGAGGAGACAGAAGAGGGAAGAATCAACCAGCCCAGCAAAACCTCTTCGTCTTTCCGCAACCTCTCTCCGCAACGACCTTCTCCTCTGCCTCCACTCCCCCTCTGCTGCCGGCATCCGCGAACCAAGCGTGCACGCCCTCAGGAACAAGGGCCAGGGCTCCTCGGCGGGGATCGCTCGAAGCAAGCCATTTATGTTTGTTAGCGGAAATGCCTCAGCAGGAGGAGGGTGAAGAGGAGGAGGAGGAGGAGGTGGGCTAGCGGTGAAGGCGGTGTTGTTGCTTGTTAGCGGGGATATGTGCTTTATGTTTGTCGGCGCTGTGAGAAAAAGGTGAAACATGATCCCCCGAATGTGAGACAAGATGTGGAACTGCGCGGTGCGATCGCTTCCGCCTCGCTTACTCCTTTTGGACGGCGGGGGGATCCGAGAAAACGGGCCCGTGTACATCGGGCTTCCCTTGTTCGGCTACACGTAAGAGTGACCACAAGCAAGAGTGACCTTTGGTGCGCGACTTAACGGGGTGGACTGGGGGGGGGGGAGGCGCACCAGAGGTCACTCCGGCGAAAGGCTGCCCTAATGTCTAGTCGATGTGTAGGCCCCGCCCCGCCCCACCCCGCTGCCCTGCCAGCTTCCAGGAGAGAAGGCGCGCGCGCGGCGGGGCGAAAGCGTGAGCCGCAGCGGTGCCGAGCCCGCCGCGTAGCCGGGGAGGACGTCCCGCGCCCAGGCGCACCTCCCAAAGATGGCCGCGCCGCAGGGACGCACGGGGACATACTACTACTGTGTGCCCTCCTTGGAGGCGTGCGTCCGATCCGAACATACAAGATAACCTTCTTGTAATCGCGAGCGGTATGGGCAGAAAGCGCCCGCCACGGAGCTACTATAAGATTTCTTGGCGCGCGCGTCGCCCCTGGAGAGGCGGCGCACACATAGTATCATTACGTTGGGATGACGCCGACCGCAGGGACCAGGCGATACCAAAGGGGGTCACCACCAGGGGGGTCGTCAGCTCGAGGAATCGGACCTCCAACACGTCCCGACCCTCCTCGATCCTCGATCCTTCCTGCTCCTCTTCGATCCTCGACCTCGAGGAGGAGGTGCTGACCCCCCTACAAGTGATCCCAGTTGTGCCCGTATCTGGGAACGACGCCCAGCGCCCAGACGCACCTCCCAGTGACAGCCGTCGGACCTCAGACCTCAGATCTCAGATGGTGGCGAGGCCCCCTTGTGGGGGGCCACGCTCTCAGAGGAAGAACGACGACGACGACGACGAGGACGACAACGACGGCGGCGACCCTCCCAATGACGCCCGCGCCGCCGGGAGGGGGGAAGCACCCGTGCGAGCGGAAAATCCGACTCGGGTGAGCTGGCCCGAAGGCGCTCCACGGTGCATCGGCAGCCGAAGCCGAAGCCACGGCTGAAGCGCACAGAGAGATGGAGAAGAAGGAGGAGGAGAAGGAGGAGGAGGGGGAGGAGGATAGAGGAGGAGGAGGAGGAGGAGGAGGAGGAGGAGGAGGAAGAGGAGGAGGAGGAGGAGGAGGAGGAGGAGGATAGAGGAGGAGGTGGAGGAGGAGGGAGGAGGAGGAGGAGGAGGAGGTAGAGGTAGAGGAGGATGATGAGGAGGAGGATAGAGGCGGAGGAGGAGGAGGGAGGAGGAGGAGGAGGAGGAGGAGGAGGAGGAGGAGGAGGGGGATACATGAGGCCCGGCCCACCCTGCAGGTCTGGTTGACAGCTGCTTGGCCCGTCCGCGCCGCAGGAGAGGGCCCACCCGTGCCGCAGGCGCGAGGAGGCAGCTGCCTGGGCCCGAGCTTCCAGGGCACGTGCTTGCGGGTGCGGAGGCGGAGGCAACCCCGTGGCCTCTGCGCTTCCCTCGACGTGCGCCCCGCGGCTCGTCCGGTGCCGTGCGAGCCGCTTCCCCGTGGCACTCCTCCTCGTGTGCCTCCTGTTCTTCCTCCTCCTCCTCCTCCTCCTCCTCCTCTCCTCCTCCTCCTCCTCTTCCTCCTCTCCTCCTCCACCTCCTCCTCCTCCTCCTCCTCCTCTCCTCCTCCTCCTCCTCCTCCTCCTCCTCCTCCTCCTCCTCTCCTTCCTCCTCCTCCTCCTCCCTCCTCCTTCCTCCTCCTCTCGTCCTCCTCCTCCTCTCCTCCTCCTCTATCCTCCTCCTCTCCTCCTCATCCCCCTTCTCTCGGGCCCGATTGTACCACCCAGCACTGGTACAGGACAACATGCGACAAGAGAGCAGACACTCCTCCTCATCCCCCTTCTCTGGGACCCGATTGTACCACCCAGCACTGGTACAGGACAACTGGTGACAAGAGAGCAGACCCGAACTGGAGATTTTCGCACGGACGGTTGGCAACCCCCTCCTGCCGCGTCTCATGTGGCTGGGCCGATCCGCAATCTCAGCACACACTGTTCCCATGCCACTTCTGCGTCGCGCTCCCTTCAGCACATGGGGCCTAGACGATGCAACCATGCCGCCAACCCAAATCTAGAGCACGGCCGTGAGACTACCCGCGCACGGACCTGATCACAAACAGACTCAAACCTCCCCTCGGAGAGCCCAGCGGGGATCCGGACCCCCCCCTCCGTGGAAGGCCCTCCCCAGATGTTTTCCATAAGGACGGCGGGCGGACGAGCTGCGAGGGTGCGCACCATCCTAGCTTGGCGGTGACGGCGATGCTGATGCTGTTCGAAGCGAGCTCTGCGCCCTTGCCAACGGGGACGTTGCTCGACTGGGCATCAAGGTAAACATCCCATGACATCATGATGGATGGGGTTCGCGAAGTCGATGCCGTACTCGTCCAACATATCAGGCTTGACCTCAGCAGCCAGGAATATCTTATTGTCCTGTGCCCTGGCGACTGCAATGTGTTCACAACGTCTGAGGCCGTCGTCATGCAGACTACCTTCGTTTCCAGAGAACATGCGGTACGTCGTGTTTCCCCGACGTGCATATGCAATCTGTTTCCTTGTCGTTGCATCAACTCTCGTCCCCAAAAGCTCTGGGCACGCCCAAGCGATGAGAATACCAGCGGGACAACCGTCCGACTCCCAAGAGCAAGGACCGTCCTCGATGTCTTCGATTCTTGCAACCCTCTGCAGCTGCTGCGACGTTCGCGACGCTCTTTGCATCACGAGCATATTAACATCCTTCATCACGTTTGACTGGTCGCTGCTGGCGTCCAGCCTCGATCCGTTTCCGAGCGTGTTCTTGAAGGCATCCAAACGGATCTGCACGTCGGCACCGTATCTCTTTCGACTCCCAGTAAGGATATCCTTATCTTCAAGCAAGGCTGCGAGATGGCAGGCGTCTATGGCACAAGCTCTAGAGACCTGCCGAGCTTGGAGGATCATGTGTGAGAGGCGGGGGTGCAGGGGAAAACGAGACAGCTCGCGTCCACGGAATGTGAGTCGCCACGCATTCCGCATGCACCCGTCGTCACCATCAACACTTTCGATCGCTTTCATGCGCGCCAGCAGAGCACACGCATCCGTAAGCTGATCCGCATGGGGAGGGTCAACCCAAGGCAACTCCGCGATGGATGCCTCGGAACAGCATCCTGCGAGGCTCAGTTCCAACACGGCAGAGCAAAGATCGCCTAAATGCAGCTCTGGCAGGTCCTGCTCTTTCAGTCCCTTGTGTTCGCTCTCGTTCCACAACCGGTAACAAGTGCCAGCACTGACTCGGCCTGCTCGGCCCTTTCGCTGGTCTGCCGAAGCGGCTGACACTGGAACTGTCTTCATGAAGGTGACGCCAGTCTTGGGGTCTGTGAAGACCGTGCGCCTCAAACCAGTGTCGATGACCACTTTGATCGATGGCAAAGTCAAAGATGACTCGGCAATCGGCGTCGCAAGCAATACCTTTCGCCAACCTCCCCGGTGTCGCAAAGCCTGCTCCTGGTCATCTCGCCCCATTGAACCGTACAGTGGAACCACCTCGACACAATTGTCTGGGTCAGCTCGCCCTTCCTCCATAATTTGCCTGGCTTGCCAAGCTATATTCGCGGGTATTGTTCCGTCCCCATAGCCCATGTTGTTCAAGACGGCCCACGTATACATAATCTCTGACTCTCCTGGCAGGAAGACGAGGACATCTCCATCGTGCTCGCGAATCGACTTGACGACCTGGTCTGCCACGAAATGCTCCAACTGATGGTCTCTGAGAGCTTCCCAGTTGAACGACAATTCGGACATCGAGCCAACATGCTTCACTTCGACAGGGAAGCACCGACCTTCAGAAAAAACTAGCGGGCAATCCAGCAGATTCCGAAGTCTTTCTCCGAGGCCGCCAAGCGTTGCGCTCATGACGATTAGCCGCAACTCTGGGTTGAAATCCTTCTGCGTCTTGAGCGCCAGCGTCAGGCTCATATCCGAGTCCAAGTTTCGCTCGTGGAACTCATCGAAGAAAATTGCCCCGATCCCCTCCAGCGTTGGGTTGTTCTGCAGCATCCGCAGCAGGATCCCTTCCGTTATGATTTCGAGGCGAGTGCCTGGCCCGCAGCGCGAGTCGTGCCGAATCCTGTAGCCGACGGTGCCGCCGACGTCCTCGCCCCACATCTGTGCCATCCTCTTGGCCGCCTCAATGCAGACGATCCTTCGCGGCTGCAGCACCAGAATTCTGCCGCGGATCCTGCCGTCGTCGAGCACGGCGAGGGGCACCATGGTCGTCTTCCCTGCCCCCGTCTCTGCCTGAAGCACCAGGTTGGGATGAGCCGCCACCCTCTCGAGGACCTCCGGCAGGAGCGCCTTGATGGGCAGGTCCTGACTTCTCCAGGGCCTCCCTGCTGCATCGGCGGATGTCTCGCGAGCGGCCCCTGCACCGGCAGCGAGATGGACTCTCCGAGCGGAGCCCTGTCGCCGCCGGGAGCGCCTCGCCACGGAAAGCGAGCACAGCGTCCACGAGACTGAGGCGGCACAGCTCCGAAGCACAGGCGCACGCGATGCTGTCTGGCGCGCACTCCCGTGGTGGCCGGACACCGCCCAATGTCGAGGAAGGCCCAAAGAAACTGCATCTGATGGTCTACGTTGCGGACCGAACGACAATGCGACGGGCCCTTCCGCAGTCATGGTTCGGAGGCATATATGAGGAACATACCGCAAGCCACTCGGTGTCAAGCTGATATCCAATCAAAAACGGCTGCCAGCCATAGCGGCTTGCGCCCAAAGGACTACGGAGGCCACAGATCATAAGGACGAGGAGGCTGGGAAGGAGACTGTTGGAGGGCACCTTCCAAGAAGGCGACGAGTACTTCAATCAGCGGCGCGCCCAAGGGGGAAGGCAGAGGAGACGACTGGTCTTCTGAGAAGCTTTCTGAGCCCTGTCCGCCGCCCCGCCGCCCTCTGAGAAGGCCTGCCCCTCTCACTTCCCCCCTCGGCGCGCCGTCGATTCAAGCCTGCTTACTTGCGACGTGCGGCTGCTGGCGGCCACGGGGTCCAGGATCGTGTGCTTCAGCACAGGGTGGGCAAAGACGTCTCGTGAATCGGAGGCATGGCGCCACAGGTTCCGAGCCTCCAGCTGCGCGCGCAAACAACCACTGCTACATATTTGCGCAACATCTGAACACGTGACACCAAGATGCATGGGGCATAGTCGTGGCACTGCGCGTATGGCATGGCGCGTGAGTGTCTACCCTTGTGGGGCCGCCCATCAGCGGCGCGCGCAGGGTGTAGAGGCTCGAAACGCGCATGGATCTGATGTCACGTCATGTCCAGTAGTCCGGGGCCCTTCTCGCGCAGGCAGCACAAATCGGTGCGAAAGTCACCCCGCTCCTTCATCTATCTCCCCGTCCCCTTCCCTCCTCCTCCTCATCCCTTTTCCTCCTCCTCCTCCTCCTCCTCCTCCTCCTCCTCCTCCTCCTCCTCCTCCTCATCCCAGGTGGCTCCCCGCGCGGCCCCCTCGCCCCCCTGCAGCCATTTTGCCTGCGGGGGCGCGGGAGGGCCCGCCATCGGGGTAGCCGCCGGCCCCAGGCGCTGCCTGGCGCGCTCGCGGCCGCTGGGGAGGCGGCGAGGCTGCTCGCGGAGGAGGCAGGCGGCTCGCCCTGGTGGTCTTGCCCGCGACTGCGGCCACTCCCTGCGAGAAGCGTCGTCGGAGGCCACCGTCCCCTGGGTGGCGCCGCTGGCGGTTTCGGAGGAAGCGTGGGAGAGCCCGACTCGATCTTCGACTCCACCGCGCTGCTGCTCAGGTCCTTCGAGGGCATCACGGCTCGCGTGTGCCCGCCGCCCTCATGGGCAAGGGCGCCGAGCGGCAACATGAGTCCAACGGCCCCAAGGGCCGCTGGGCTTGCGTGGCGACTCGCGTGTGCGGGTATCAGCGTAACTTCCCTGATAACAAGCGCTGTTACCAGTGCAGCAGGGACAGGCAGGGGCGGCCAGATCTCAGCGGCGCGACCCCTCCTGGCCACAGCAGGCGTTCTGCCTCGGCGGGGGCGGGCAGGCGCAGCACCGCACACGACAACGCCTCCGTCGGGTCTGCGCCTGAGGAGGTCGACCTAGTCGGCAGGGCTCGCAAGGCCCTTCAGGCTCTTCGGCGGCTGCAGCTCGAGACCTCCGAGCTCATCGTGGCCGCCAAGAAGCAGCTGGCCCTCGCGGAGCAGCAGGAGCGCTCCAGTCGCACTCCAGATGACATGCTCAAGAGGGCCCTCGACAGGCAGTCCACCCGGATGCGCGAGCACGACGCCCTCGAGGCCGGGCTCACGGAGCTGCAAGGACAGCTGGACACCAAGCGGGCCGAGATGGTCATGCTGGCCCAGGAGCTCGGCGCAGCTCGCCTGGAGGTCAGCACGGCGCGCGCCGCGGTCATGGCGGCCAGTGCCCCAGCGTCCAGCAGCAGTGGCGCACAAGGTGCGGAGCAGGCTTTCGGACGCTTGCAGGCGCTGGTTGCAGCAGCGCCCACGGCAGTTCAGGCTGGCAAGAGGGCGACGGCCCTGCAGCCCATCGGCACCTCGTGGAGCTGCATCGCGCTTTCGAGGACCACGAGCAAACAGATGGAGCCAGCACGGACAGCCCCCCAGGCGGCACCTCCAACGATCGCCGCCATGGAAAGCATCGACGCCTACCTGCATGGGCCCGTCACCGCATCAGACCTACTTCAAGCACCTGCCTCACCACCGATCCCAGCGCCTGCAACACCTACGGGGCCAGCAGCGCCAGCGGGCACAGCGGGCACGTCGTGGGACAGTATCTAGCCGTACTGGGGTCTCGGTCTCGGTCATGACCTTCAGACTGCTTGACTTCCGCAAGTTCAGGGCTTGCTCGGTGGCGGGTGGTCAGGCGACCGATTTGGCGCACAGCTCGCATCAAGATGACTCTCGCACGGCTTTGACTCAGCACCTGGCTGATGGCGACTCAGATGATGCTCAATATGGTGTGAGACCCACCGGTGGCGATGGAACAACCTCTATCACGTGTGCTACTACGCGCAGGGGTGGCACCTCCTCTCAGTTACTGGGGCTTGGGGCCGCGTCTTCAGATAAATACTTCTCAGTTACTGGGGCTTGAGGCCGAGTCCTCAGACATTATTCATAATATTGGGGCTGCCTTGCATGTCAGTGTGGGGTCGCTGCAGCTGCGCAGAACCTCGCAAGCAGTCATATCGGGGCCTCAAGGTGGTAGTCCCTCTTCGGATGGTTGCCCCAATGACGGGTCCCGCGCCTCGGAGGCCCTGCGGCTTTGACTGCCCCTGCGAGGCCTGTGCGGCACGACACCGACGGCGAGGGCGAGTGCCACGCTCGACCGCCACAAGTTCCTGGTGGTGGAGAGCCAAGAGACCGACGCGTTCGCGGTGGTGGTTGGGCATGTACCGGTCGTTCGGCTGGCGAGCCGGGGACCCCAAAAGCTGCACTTGCCGGTCGTTCTCAGCTGGCGAGCCGGGGACGGCAAAGGCTGCATTTACAGGTCGCTCGGCTGGCGAGCGGGTTGGTACGTGTTTGTGCGAGTCCGTATCTTTAGACCGACACGCCCGCGCCAGCCCTGCACCTCGATTTCGGGCCTGGACTGCCGATCCTGATCGTGCTGGCGAGGCTCCTCCAGTCGCCCCACCTGGCTGTCAGAGAAGCTGCGACGTCCATGGCGACTGGGGCCAGGTCTGCGCCGACGACCTGCTCGACGGCGAGCTCGACCCCCTCGACGTCTTGGATAAAACTGCCGAGGTGCCCGTTTGGGCCCTCCGTGCTCCTGTGGAGCGCGCTTAGGGGAAGCGTGCCGCTGCTGGAGGGGCGGCGCGGGCGGGGCCTGGCCGCCTCGAGGGGCGGCGTGTTGGCCAGGGGGGGGAGACGGTCAACCAGTATAGCAAGGATGCGCGATAAGGATGCAAGGGCCTCGGGCGCCCATTTCGAAGCTCTTCGAGCGGGGCGAGGATGCAAGGATAGACCGAGGATGCAAGGATGCAAGGGTACCCTTGGGAAGGTGGCCCATCCTTACTATGCGGGTTGACGGTAGGGGAGCAGCTCGATGAGCACCCGAATATCCCCCCCCCAGGCAGGCACAGCCACGCGGCCGCTCCATGGTGGACGTGCTGGTCGCTGACACTCCCAGCTCGGTGGCCTCCAGACCGTCCGGACGCGCTCCCAAGAGGGGCAAGCGCAAGGACTTCCGCATTGCCACGTTCAATGAAATGGCAGCGGCTGGCCGCAGTTGAAGGATTTTCTTGCGAGTGGGCTACAGTATCACGTCGTCTACGCTCAGGAGCTCAAGCTCAGAGGCGACCACCTTGATCGAGCGAAGGAATGGGCGGCCAGCCACGGCTGGAAGCCGTTTCTCGCCGAGAGCACCGCGAGCGACACCGGTGCATGCCGTGCTGGAGTAGGCCCCTTCGTGCGGAGCCACATCGGAGCGACACTCCTTTCGTCGTTCGTTGACTCCCATGTCCTGGAGCCTGGCCACATTGTCGCTTTGCTCATCCAGTGCGACAAGGATTCATAGCTGCTTCTGTTTATCTTGAGCAGGGTGAGAAGCTCGGGGCTTCCAATGCCAAACGACTTCGAACGCTCGGCATGTGCCTGTCACACTGCAAGCTGCCGTTCATTGTACGTTTCGCCTGATACGTTAAACAGCTCCAGGTGGCCTGAGCGCCCGAGTGCACGTGTAGTCGCAACGCCTCGCGGAACTTACCGCGACCCCAAGACGGCTAGATACTCCAACTTGGACTACTGGGTATCTGGTGATGTTCTAGCTCCCGTCATGCAAGAGCCCGAGACACTTCCAGAGTTCCCTCCGCGTAACCATCACGCTGCGCGTACCTCCGGCGGGTGACCCGCTCCCCGATATGTCGTTTGGAGCCGCCGACCAAAAAAGTACCTCCTGCGGGCCCAGGGCTCGGGCCGAGCAAATCACCGTGTTGAAGGGCTCCGAGCTTCAGGCCCAACGCTACGGAGCGCACTGACATTCAAGATACTGATGATGAGCCGCAGTTTGAATGCGCCCGAGGAGACCCAGGACTTGCTTGGGTAGACATCATGCGGCCAAATGTGCAGCACAGGTTGGGCGACCCTCGCATGCACCTGGCCCGACTGGGCGCTATCTGTGCACAGATACATCGGGGGGCTGAGGCCGAGTCGTTACCACTGTTTGGCGTTGACCCGGGCTCTGCGCACAAGTGCACGGGAAGGGGCGCAGGCCCTCGATCGGCCAAATCGACTGCAGGAGGTGCGCTTGCTCGTTTTCAGCCAGCTGCCACCAAGGACGCTCGCGCTACGCCTCCTGCAGATGAGAGTTTGCAATGCCCAGCTCACGGTTGACAAAGGCAGTCAGCACGTTAGCGAAGCCGGCGATATCTATATCAGCTCGTCTCGCAGAAGGGCAAGGAAGGGTGAGAAGACGCATACCTCACGGTACTTGCATTATCCTCACCTACCTCATAGATCAGATCTGCTCCCATCCCTTGCCAGGGAATCCTGTTATGTTGCGCTTCCTCGGTGACTACATCGGCAAGTTGGCCGAGAGCGAGGAGCGATTCTTGGCCTCGGCACGAGCCCGATCCTTCTCGCCGTGGATCCGCGGGCACCTTCTCGCTCAGCCAGGCCCCGTACATAAGTGGTCTAAGCCGAGGGGTTGGGATACTTCACAAGTGCACACCTCGCTTGATCGATCTAGCTCCCCCTCGGACATATGCGAGGCCCCACGGGAATCTTGGTCAGATGTCTGGGAAGGGGCTTCAACTGAGCCCAGCATCAA